TAGTGGGGATGCTGTCTGCTCTGTGATACAGAGTCCTGATGACTCCTAACTTGTGCTCCAAAGGGTGATGGGAGTCAAACTGCAAATACTGGTCTGTGTGGGTGGGTTTACAGAGTAATATTGTGTATGCTGTTCAGTGTCAGGAGGGCTGTGATCAGTCTTACATCGGGGAAACTAAACAGCCACTGGCCAAAAGGATGGACCAGCACAGAAGATCAACATCATCAGGCCAGGACTCTGCGGTCTACACTCATCTCCAGGCCAGCGGTCACTCTTTCAAGGATGAAGATGTTCACATCCTGGACAGAGAGGAACGATGGTTTGAGAGAGGAGTAAAGGAGGCCATCTTTGTGAAAAGAAACCGTCCATCATTAAACAGGGGTGGAGCCTCCGGGTTCAATTGTCCCCCTCTTACAATGCTGTGATTGCTAGTATCACTCAGCCCTCTGTGAACAGTAAACAGCCATCAGTGTGCTAATGATCCATTGTTAGGCTGATGGTCCTTCTTGAGCATGTGATCAGCTGGTTTTGGTTGTCAGCAGCAAACTGGTTGATCCACTCTGAGAAGGTGCTATTTAAAAGACTGAGCTGAATACAGCACCTCAGACTGAGGAAGTCTCTCGGATGAGAGACGAAACGTTTCTACATTTTTTTGCTTTTTGTTTTGTTTCTTGTTTTTTGAATGTCCAGAAACCAGATTGAACTTTTTTAGATTTTTCTACCTGGATTATTGAGCATTCATTCAACTATTTTTCCAACCTTTAAACGTTATTCTTTACTCTCTAAAACAAAAGAATATCCTTCTTAATGTTTAGTTTTTTTCTCCTGAGTGGTCTCTATTACACATTCTAGTGAAATGTGCAGTTTTTTAAAGGAATTGATCTGAACACATTCCTTGTCCACCACAGGAGTGTAGACACCATAACATTTCTTGATCACACACATTTTTCTTATGTTCACTGGTGTTTTTAAAACTCCCAGCTCATGTGAAAATCCCCAGGAAAAGAGAGAGATTGTGGCAGAATGATGGCCACTTGAAGTGAATCATTAGCTGTAATAATATCTTCCGTTTGACTCATCTGTCTTGGCTCAGCGCTGACAGAAATGATTCAGTGGCTGCTATAGCATTATTCTGTCACTGCAAACCTCCTCTGCTCACTCAGTGCTTCCTACTGCACTACTCTGAAACTTAGGCTGCATTCACACCAGCCCTGTTTAGTCGCTTTAATCGAACTCTAGCTTGTTTTCCTAGAAAGTCCTGTTCGTTTGGGGAGGTGTGAACGTGCCATTGAACTCTGTCACGGAACAAAAAGGTGAACTCTGGCCCGGGGTAAAACCTAGGTCTCGGTCCAGTAGAAGAGAACTCCAGCGTGGTTCGAGTACAGTTTGAATGTAAACAGACCGAGCCCCGCTCCGCAGGACAAACAAACAAACATTTCTCTGACCTCATATGGAGCCGTCAGCTGCCTTGTGTGAAAAACAACATTCTCCATGATCTTCTGTCTCATCTTCTGCTCATGCTGAGTCCATTTTTGAAAAATGACAAAAATAACTCCTAAAACTGCTAAAACTTGACGCCACTCCGTTTTTATTTTTATTTCCAGAAGAAGAAGACGTGTCTTCAGAGGTTTTTGTGTTGTTTCTTTCAGTAGTTCTTGGTGCAGCGCCCCCACAGGCGAGCGGGGGAACAGGTTGGTTCAACAGGTTGTCTCGACTGCACAGTGCAGTGTGAATGCAAACGCACCAGCTCACATGTAACAAAAGGTCATGAATATTGGTCCCGAACCGAACCGAGTCTACCGGACTATCAGCTGTGAAAACAATCTTAGTGTGTTGGCTCTCAGCCAGAGCTCCATCTGAAACGTGGAATGCTTTAAAAATCCCTCGTAAGTCAGATTAGCTTTCTGTTTGCTGAACCTTGAGCGACTCAAATGCTTCACAGATTTTACACTTACTGATCTTTGTGAGAACAATCATCTAAGCACAATGCAAGAAAGTAAATGCTAAGAATTTCCTAAAAAAAACAACCATTTTCTGGACTTGGTTCAAAAGAAACTGTTTGAACTAAAGTTCTGACTTCTATATGTATGTATACACGGTATATATATATATATATATATATATATATATATATATATATATATATATACATCCATATGTAAACCTTCTCTTGTCCTTCCAATAACTTCTGATCCACTCATCATATTGTAATGGAACTTCATACACATCAACACCAGACTGTGCTTGTAATCACCCCATTGCAAAGGTCAATGTCACAAATAAAGGTCAAATATTTTTGCATGTCCAAACTGTAACTTTGGATCTGATAAACATAATTTATTGAAACTTCACACACACACATCTATCATCACTAGATGGGAGTGTCACATACACTTTTCATCACCCTAACTTTAACACCCTAACATTAAGGTCACAAATCAAGGTGAAAGGTTGTTCAAGATTTTTTTTGCCCACAGTTTGTCGATGGGCGTATAATGTGCCAAATACAGAATTTGAGTAGCAAATCTTATAACATTTTAATCTGTGAATTTGGAATCAAAACTGACAGTGATGAGGAGAGGTGGAGAAGGAGGATGAAGAAGAGAAAATTGTAATATTAGGAACCTGTACAGTATAATTGAGCATACCTTTTACCTTTTGGTTTATTGACTGAGCAGGTTAGGAACACTGAAAACTTAACTAGAATATAGAAAACCCTATCCACCTGTTTGTCTTTTTGTCCAGATATCCATTTCTTATTCCTTTTTTGGGGGGGTTGCTTTGTGAAGGTATCAGAAGCAGGAGGGAACTGCAACATTCCTCTCCACAGCAACATACAGTGGTGATCAAACGTTTGTGAACCCTTTGTAATTTTCCATATTTTGCATA